ATTTGTTGTCCTCGTTATTTCTTTTTCAGATGAATATGTTGTATTGTGATGCGGAACGCTGGATGTTGTTTCTGGCTGGATTCGGTTCGGTTGGATCCTAAAATAATACGATGTTTCAGCATTGTTTAAACTTTTATTCCTGTGGGGGTTAAATTCCTCATAATTAATAAATGTGCCTATTTCTTTTCGATTGAATCGAGATCGATGAATCAGTCAGTGAGCGTTTTCACGCTGACGTTGAGTGACGGCTGATGACGTGTTTCCTGTTTTCTGCAGATGAAGAGTGTCTCTCTGACCGCAACGACTCCAAAAACTCGGCGAACTCTCAAAAGAGGAAGAAGAGGCGACACAGGTGAGCCTCATATCTGTAGGATATTTATTATACAGAGCCATATACATTTATGAACTTAAGGCACGATACAGTACTTTATATTAATATTTCATATTCGATTGTTTTTGTTTTTTAAAATGTTTTCATTTATTTATTCAATTCAATTCATTTTATTTTGTAGAGCCCAAAATGGCAAATTACATGAATTAAATGATTGGCCTCAGAGGGCTTTACAGTGTGGACACATGACCCTCCGTCCTGAAACGCTCACATCTACACAGGAACTACGAGCCCTTCACGGGGAAGAAGAATTTAAGAGGTGGAAGGTTTAAACATGCGGGTCGTCTGTCTGTCCTCAGGACGGTGTTCACGTCCCACCAGCTGGAGGAGCTGGAGAAGGCCTTCCACGAGGCCCACTACCCGGACGTGTACGCCCGAGAGATGCTGGCCATGAAGACAGAGCTCCCTGAAGACCGGATACAGGTAGACACATTCATCCATTCATCTGTCAACTTATATTATTATTATTATTATTATATTAATGGAACACAGTCTGTTGATCATTTAAAAATAATATTTAATAAGAAGAAAATAAAAAATCGAGCAATCAATGAAATATAATAATTCCAACTATAATTGTGATAATAATAATAACGAGAGAAATTAGAAAGATAATACAAGTGAAAACTATAAGAATGTTAAAAAAGAGGATCGACAGTAATATGAAGGTGAAGTATAATAATGATAGAAAATAATCACGTTGATGATTAAGTGGGCGTAGTGGACGTCTGACCCGGTGCGCGTGGTGCAGGTCTGGTTCCAGAACCGGCGGGCCAAGTGGAGGAAGCGGGAGAAGTGCTGGGGCCGCAGCAGCGTGATGGCGGAGTACGGCCTGTACGGGGCGATGGTGAGACACTCCATCCCGCTGCCCGAGTCCATCCTCAACTCGGCCAAGAACGGCATGATGGGGTCCTGCGCTCCATGGCTGCTCGGTGAGCCGCATGCACGTCAGTAGCACGCACGCACGCACGCACACGCACACACACGCACACACTGTTTGAATACACTTGTGTTTCCATCTGCAGATAACTAAGTTAAATTGAAAATATGTATGTTTATTAAAATAGTTCTCTGAATTTGATCACATGACTCAAAAAAAAAATTCAGATAAATCCAGTGAGTCTTAACGCCAGCTGGTCAGGTGGATGCTACTAAAGTACACATTTGTATGCGTGTATATATATATATAACATTGTATATTACACTGAACTAAGAACACACATGTGGTATCTCTGACTCTCCGTCTCCGTCCCCACAGGAATGCACAAGAAGTCTCAAGAAATAACCAAAAAGTGTCCCAGTCCTCGGGAGGCGGACCCGTCCCGACCCGACTCGTTCTGCGACGCCCCAGAGAGACGCAGCCCCGCCGAGGCTCGGCAGGAGGAGCCGCTGGGGGTGGAGGAGGAGGAGGTGGAGGAGGAGGTGGCCATCGACCTATCCAGCTCCTCTAAGCAGCAGCAGGAGCCCAGGAGCTCCGTAAGCCCCGCCTCTTCGCGGCACAGCGGCAGCGAATCGGACGAACGCAGCTAAAGGCCGGAGGCGCGAACGGAGGGATCTGATTGGCTGTTCGCAGACCGACGGGCCAAAGAGAGAACGAGGCAAAATAAAATGGCTACAATTGAAATGCTGCTCTTGGTTAGCACGCAGACACATTAGCATGCTAACTCTGCCGCCGCCAGGTCGCCCCCAAGGAATCGGACTGAGAGTTGACCTTTAACCTGTTTCAGGAAGACGTACCTGTGTGTTTATTATTGTATTGTACTGAGAGTATGTTTTATATCCGTGTTTTGGGGCAAAGGGTTAAGAGGCTATTTCCTGTTTACTTCCCATCGTGTTTTATAGTTTGACTGCTTGTCACTGACTGAAGCTCTGTGAGTGATGTCATTCAAATGTGACATTTTAAATGGTGGTTATTATTATTACTATCATTATTGGGATTATTATCATCAACATGTACAGCAGCCGATTGGTGAATAAAAAACAGTATTTTTGGAATCACTGGGATTTTTCAACGGCACACAAACACTGCAGAATTTACGTTTAATTATAAACGTCATTAATCACTTATTATTATACATTTATACGTGTTGATACTTCAGTCGAGAAAGGAAATGTTTAATGGACGTTTCATTAGACAATTGTCATAAAATGTTTAAACCTCGATTATTGAAGCTTCTATGTATTTGTTTACTATAATGCAGGTTTACAGCAGCTTCAAATAACTATAAAGACATTAAATATTTCAATCATGTGAGAATCCTTTTTATAAAACAATGTAAATGCTGCTCCGTTGAGCTTATTACGGGTCAACGCTCATAAGAACATCATCAAAAATAAGGTGGTTTTAATTTGGAGGCAGAAATGTTCGTCACTTCCTTCGTCTTTCTCTGCTAAGCTACTCGGCTGCTACGTGCAGAACCTCTTCATCGTGTCCCACGTTACCTGTTTTAAAAATGAACTTCTCCTCGCGATCGAATCGGTGTGGCGGGAAATACTCAGCGCGTCACCGCAAGTCTGTTGTGTGACTAAACAGGTGAGCTGGAGCTGGTAGCTGCTAACAGGAGTATCCAGGTGGAGGAGGACACTGAAGGAACTACTGTCCATATTGGACCACCTGCTGCAGGGACAGACACAGACATTCCTGCATAGACCGACACTGCAACAATTACCCCCTAAACCGGAGCAGGTGTCAAACTGAAGTGCACCTCTATTCATGGCGTTATGGTGCCTACATTCTCCTTTCACATGGTTGATGTTCACAAGGACCTCCTGGTCTTCTCCCCCTCACCTGGGGTTTGTTGCCTCCACTTCTCTGACCAAGTGCCAGGCTGTGGCTGGGCGGGGAGGAGGAATCAGAATGTAGCATTCAAAGTATCTGCTTTAAAGACGCCGCAGAGAGGAAACGCTTAACAGCGCCTTTAAACCGTAACGCCATGAATGGAGGTGCATTTCATTTTGAAATGTGCACATGACCGCCATTTAAAACTGGACCATTATCCATAACCATTGCACTAATATTTTAATTTTAATTAATACCTATTTCACCTCACTGAACATACTTTCACTCTGATTTCACTCAATATCATTAAAGTTAATTTAATAAGTTCTGCTCTGTTATTTTATTATACTGGCTATTTGCTAACTGACACGTTGTTACACCAAACTCCATGTAAAAATGCTCTGATTTAAGATGCTGAGCTCTCTAGTGGACCGGCTGTGTGATGGAGAAGTCCTGAAGACGGTCGAGCATACAGGAGACCTGGAGGATCTACGACGCCGCAGGAAGGGCTCCTGTGGCGCCAGCGGGCTAAAGACCCACCGGACCACCCACTTCCAGAAGACCTTCGTCTGCGGGAACAGCTTCTTCCACGCCGGCCAGCTGACGCGGCAGCAGCTGCTCCACCGGGAGGCGGGAAGGGCTTCACGCAGGCCGCCAACCAACAGGCCGCTCCGCTCCGTCTGCAGCAAGAGCGACCGCTGACCACGTCGTAGAGGTAAACAGCATGAGGAGAACAACATCAACAATGAGCCATCAGCATCATTAAAGTCACAAAGATGATTAAATCTATGGTGGAAATACAAAGGCGTATACGTCCTTAATCTGACCTCCGGTCAGCTGGATTACACAGACTAGCATCAATTATCATGTGATGGCAGTAAAGTGGGAATTACAAGCGATTACGCTGCAGCTCCGTCAGATTAAAGAATCTGATGGAGACATGGCAGATCTGAGGTCAGAGGTCACTGAGCAGCAGCAGCACAACAAGCATCTGACCACAGCGGTTACATGTTGTTATGACTTCAAGCCTCATATTCATATTTACTTCCAAGAGACTCCAGAGTCTGAGCTCCACTGCTGCGTGTTTCCTGTGTGCGTTTATTGTGCGTTTAGAGTCAATATCTCTCATCACACAGTTGTTTTTATAGAACAGTATCATATTTAACCCGGTGAGATCCTGAACCGAATGACTGAAAGAACGGGGTCACGGGTACAGGCGGCCCAAATGGTTTCCTCTTAGAGATGGAGTGAGAAGCTCCGTGAGGAGCTCGGAGTCCTTCGGGTTGAGGTGGTTTGATCATCTGGTGAGGATGTGAAGACCCAGGACCAGGTGGACAGATTATGTCTCTGCACTGGCCTGGGGACGCCTGGGGAGTCAGAGCTGGTCGATGTGGGACAGGGAAGTTTGGGTCCCCTGCTGGAGCTGTTGCCCCGCGACCCGACCCGGATAAGGAGTTGAAGATGGATGGATGGAGATACAGATGATTATTATATATTATATAGTATTATACTATAGTATACTATAGTATTATAGAAGTATTCTAACTTAAGCTGCTCGATGTTTTGTCTACATTTAGTAACATTGTCCATCTTTCATGTGTGGATTAATGATGAACTTTATGAACTTTACTTTATAAAAAATTACCTACAAACCGCTAGCAGTTCCAAGTCTTTATGCTAAGCTATCCAGTTGCTGGTTTTAGCCTAACCTTTACTCTGGTAGTATTATTAGTAGTATAAGTATTAGCATAAGTAGGAGGAGTAAGAGTCCTTACTCTGTGTGGATGTATGAGTAGTATCAGTAGTAAGGGTGGTAGTAGTAGCAGTATAACTAGTAGTAGTAGTAGTAGGACTATAAGTAGGATTGTTTGAATTTGTATGGGCAGTACTGGTATTAAAGTAGTATTAGTAGTTATATAAATGATTACGGATTGGACTAATAATACTAGGGTTACACTAGTATTATTTCTGTTATTATTATTAATTAATGATTTATTTCAAACCGCGTCAGCAGTTTGTCCTTCAGCTTCATCAGCGGCTCATTGGCTCAGACGCTCACGTGACCGTGTACCGCCGCAGCCTCACCTGAGCTCACCTGAGAGGGACGGGGTCTTCTGAGCAGCTGATCAACATGGCGGCTCAGACCCGCCGGAGCGCCAGACTCTCCGCGACCCTGCTGGGTCGCTGCGGAACCCCGGTACTGGTTCCGACCCGGGCCGGACCGGGACAGCACAGGTCCCCCGTGCCAGCTCTCCCCGCGCCGGGCACCTGGAGCTCCCGGCTGTCGCGGATGTCCCACCGGGATCTGTACCGGCTGTCGATCGTGGATCCGGATCAGTTTTGGGGTTCTGCCGCCGCCGACAGACTGCGCTGGTCCGAACCGTTCCACCGGGTCCGGGACTGCGACCTCAGCACCGGGAGGATCGCCTGGTTCCTGGGCGGAAAGATCAACGTGTCCGGTGAGAAACGGCGCGATGTCGGTATCCGAGTTTCACCGTGTCCGTTATCTGAGGAAGAAAACTACCAGAAGAAAGTACTACTGTAAGAATGCTAGTACAAATACCACAGGGAAGAAATACTGTTAGAAGTGAATCTAATCCCACACTGACTGGTAAATGGTAAAAAGTGTCATCATTCACCGGTCGATGAGCGCAGAGACCAGACAGAGACACCTGTCCAGACAGAGACACCTGTCCAGACAGAGACACCTGTCCATCAGTGTCCAACACTCACACACTGGAGACACAGTCCTGCCAGGACACGCAGGTTAGCAGGAACTGGGATCACTGGAGGACAACACTCACCCTCCGTCGCACCGAGAGATACTCTATTACAAAGTACTAATACACTGAAGAGATACTCTATTACAAAGTACTAATACACTGAAGAGATACTCTATTACAAAGTACTAATACACTGAAGAGATACTCTATTACAAAGTACTAATACACTGAGGAGATACTCCATTACAAAGTACTAATACACTGAAGAGATACTCTATTACAAAGTACTAATACACTGAAGAGATACTCTATTACAAAGTACTAATACACTGAAGAGATACTCTATTACAAAGTACTAATACACTGAGGAGATACTCTATTACAAAGTACTAATACACTGAAGAGATACTCTATTACAAAGTACTAATACACTGAGGAGATACTCTATTACAAAGTACTAATACACTGAGGAGATACTCTATTACAAAGTACTAATACACTGAAGAGATACTCTATTACAAAGTACTAATACACTGAGGAGATACTCTATTACAAAGTACTAATACACTGAAGAGATACTCTATTACAAAGTACTAATACACTGAGGAGATACTCTATTACAAAGTACTAATACACTGAAGAGATACTCTATTACAAAGTACTCATACACTGAAGAGATACTCTATTACAAAGTACTAATACACTGAAGACATACTCTATTACAAAGTACTAATAATACACTGAAGAGATACTCTATTACAAAGTACTCATACACTGAAGAGATACTCTATTACAAAGTACTAATACACAGAAGAAATACTCTATTACAAAGTACTCGTACACCCAAGAGATACTCTATTACAAAGTACTAATACACAGAAGAGATACTCTATTACAAAGTACTAATACACTGAAGTAGCACACGGACACTACAAATAAATAATACCACAGTGTAGAAGAAATGAAGTAAAATTGAAATACTAATCTGTTGATTACCAGTAAATAGACCCCCCCCCCCAGTTGTTGTTCTGATCCTGGTAGTAATCCCTTTACCTTCCAATAGATGCGGTGTTTGTCTGTGGGTGTGTGGAGGGGGGGGGGGGGGGATTTCTGAGTTACATAAAGGACAAAAACAAAAAACAAGTCTTCAGCTTTAAGCTCATTTCAGGATTAATCTTTAATCATCGAGTGAATGAAGGCAGTTCCCTTAAATTCTACATTAAATATATTACATTACATATATCACATTACATTACATATATCACATTACATTGCATATATCACATTACATATATCGCATTACATTAGATATATTACATTACATATATTACATTACATATATTACATTACATATATTACATTACATATATTACATTACATATATCACATTACATATATCGCATTACATATATCACATTACATATATTACATTACATATATCACATTACATATATTACATTACATATATCACATTACATATATCACATTACATATATCACATTACATATATTACATTACATATATCACATTACATATATCGCATTACATTACATATATTACATTACACATATCACATTACACATATCACATTACATAGCCTGGTTCCCTCTGTGCTGCAGTGAACTGCCTGGACGTCCACGTGGAGACACATCCCGACCGAGTGGCTCTGATTTGGGAGCGGGACGAGCCTGGTACAGAGGTGAAGGTGACCTACAGGTATGGACCCCCCCCCTCCAGCCTAACAAACAAGGACAGCTTGAGGAAAGAAACCTCTGGTCTCATCTTTATGTGCTTTACGTTCTCCGACCATAAACATGAAGGAATGTGATGTTTTACGGGTCACACACGTCGGGTAAGGATTAACCACAATAACCGAGAGGAGGAGGAAACGGGCTTTATGTCATAAGTGAGTGACTCAATCTGCAGAAGTTGCTGTTTTCTCATAAAAAGAATCGACTAACAAGTAGCTGCTCTGAGTCTCATTGGCTGTGAAATCACTGCATTGCTCTGCTGACATGATGTTTGCTTATTAATACTCCGACCATCTCCATCAGCGAGTGACCGACCGTCTGCTCCCCAGAGAGCTGCTGGACACAACCTGCCGCCTCGCCAACACCCTCAAGAGCCACGGGATCCAAAAGGGGGACAGGGTTGCCGTCTACATGCCGGTGTCCCCGCTGGCGGTGGCGTCCATGTTAGCGTGCGCCCGTATCGGGGCGGTCCACACCGTGGTGTTCGCTGGCTTCAGCTCCGAGGCCCTAGCCGGGAGGATCCAGGACGGTGAGACTCGTGTTAAACCAGGACGGGGTATTCAGCCTCGGTTTGGGTAGCGAGGGGGGTCCTTTGACTTGTGACCTCATAACCCCAACTAAGGTTCGGTTGTGAGGATTCTGGCAGCAGTGATCAGTAGCACCACTGACTGAGGGGAGGGGGGAGGGGGGGCTTCCCACAGAGTCTTTCCATTGTAGCAGAACTAATGCCACAGTGGAGGTCAGAGACGCCGCTCACGCTTGTGTGTTTTGGTAACAAGACATTTCCACGGCTGGCTGAGCAACAGCAGAAGCAAAGCATGCTGGGAGTTCAGCTGATTGTGTTGCAGGAGAGCGTTGGCATGGAGGCTTTTTGTTGCGTCGTCACGCGGAACAACACGGCGATAATTCATCTGGTTCTCAGACCTTCTCTCTCAGAAGAGTTTCCATTTGTTACATGCATACAGAAACCTTTCAAAATGCTCACTACATCAGTCCGAGTCGGGGGAACGAGGTTTGGAATACGGTACCTCATCGTGTATCTTTACTGAAGTACATACGTCGTTATTAGGAAGGTGTGTGTTGTGTTCACAGCCCAGTGTAAAGCCGTGGTCACCTTTAATCAAGGGGTGAGGGGAGGACGGCTCATTGACCTGAAGGCTACGGTGGACTCAGCGGTGAAGAACTGTCCAACCGTCCAACATGTGTTTGTAGCTCAGAGGACAGAAAATCCTGCTGTGATGGGACAGCTGGACGTCCCCCTGGAGGAGGTTAGACACCTGATCAATACACCTGATTGTCAGCTAGAAACTTAAAGGACCATAAGGACAACCGAATGGTTGAAATGTACTTATTGTAAGTCGCTTTGCATAAAAGCGTCAGATAAATGACCTGTGATGTGATGTAAAGGTATTGTCCTCTCAGTCTCCTGTCTGTCCTGTAGTGGTAGTAGTATAATCAGAAGTGGTAGTATTAGTAGTTATAGTAGTGGATAGATAAATACTTCATTAATCTGGAATTTGTAGAGTAATTACAATGAGAAATAAAAAATGCACAATATATACACAGTACAATAAAATATCAGAGCAGACGTGTTCGAATAGACTAAAGTGACGGTGGTGACGGTGGTGACGGTGGTGACGGTGGTAGTAGTAGCGGTAAGTGTACTGTCACCTGTCCTGTCTTACAGGCGATGTCCTCTCAGTCTCCCGTCTGTCCCGCGGAGCCTTTGGACAGTGAAGATCTTTTGTTTCTTCTATACACATCAGGAAGTACGGGGAAACCTAAAGGCATCGTCCACACGCAGGCCGGTTACCTGCTGTACACCTCACTCACTCACCAGGTGCCCACCTCCACCTGCCTTTCCTGTCCCACCTTCCTGCACCACCTCTCTCCGCTCTTATTGTGGCAGTATTAACATGGAACATTGATTACAGGAAGACAAAGAGGAGCACAAATTAGTGTGTGTGTGTGTGTGTGTGTGTGTGTTTGCAGGGATTCGCGTGATTTGTATGATGATTATTGAATAAAAGCATAAAGCATAATAACCCCCCCCCCCCACCATCAACATAACTGCCAAAATATTTTCGGGTGCTAATTTCTAAAGCAGCTTAGCAGCTCAGGGTTTGTCTTTCTGGCTCGTTGTTTGTTTGGATGAATCAAGGGAACAAAAGCTGCTTTATTTGAAAAAGACAAGGACAGCTGGTTCCACGCCAGGGCGAGCGAGAGGGAGAGAGAGAGAGAGAGAGAGATTTTATTTATCTTTATTTCCTCAAAATACCCAGCAAGACCAAGAGTCCTGAACTTCAATGAATGAAATGAGTCCGGGGCTTCTGGGTAATGTAGTTCAACAGAACCAGAGAGAAGTGACCCCTTGTGTGATGTCTCCTCAGTACGTGTTCGACCACCAGGACGGCGACGTGTTCGGCTGTGTGGCGGACGTGGGCTGGATCACGGGGCACAGCTACGTGGTCTACGGCCCGCTATGCAACGGATCCACCACTGTCCTGTTCGAGAGCACACCTGTTTACCCCGACCCAGGTAAGGTCCAGGTGAGAAGACTTTGATGTGCACAGGAGGGTCCAAACTGGTGTTCATGACGATGATCGATCAAAGATCTATCAAAGACAAATCAAACAACAGACTAAACGATGGATCAAACGACATATTAAACAATAGATCAATCCATAGATTAAACTACAGATTAAACTATAGTTAGAACTATAATCGATAGATGAGGACGATAGACATTTGATATGTCGATTGATCAATCATTGATCCATCTATCTAGTGACGGATCCTTCTACTTGTTATCTGCTTTATGACCACGGAGGAACCTTTGAGATGAGATGTCTCCTGGTTACTGATTAATGAAGTAACTGTTGCCTCCTTATCTCCTCAGACCATATGTGACCTTTAGTCCCTGCGGTGGTTCTGACCGTTGACTGGTAGTCGGTTGATCCACAGAGGTTTGAAAGGAAGTAACTACAAAATAATGATGGGTCAGATGTTACATCACATGTCATTTTTCTGACGCTTTTATCCAAAGCGACAATAAAAACAGTTCACCCATAAGGACACAAACTCAGAAGAACAAGAAACAAGAAAGTGCAATTCCCTCAAATAAGCAGATTTACAACTTAAATCACCTTTACACCCCCCCCCCCCCCCAGATAAGAACCATTACAATTTAGATTAGTTCAACACTCGCCCCCCAAAAAGGCAGCGCTCTTCCTCATTGATGAAGAAGCGATGTGAGTTAGATTAACGTTTTGCAGAGAAAGAGTTCTCCGTGACATCGTTTATTTGCCGTTGTTGCTGTAAAATATCCTGGTTTGGGTGACCGACTCGTCCGCCCTCGGACGTAGGACGCACACGACTGACTGCTTCAAACTAACGAGACTGTTTGAGCGCGGATCCGCCTTCGAGGAACTGAGATAGTCTGATGTCAAGCATCATAATTTGAGCTGGATAATGGGACATTTGATCAACTGACGGCCGCCGCGTGTTTCTGCGTCTTTACGCGTCGACGCACTGGTTTCACTTCCTGGTTGTAAAGTCCTGCGTGTGTTGCAGAGCGATTCACCTCCAGAACAACAGGTGGAGTCACGTGTTTTGTTGAAGACGACCTGGAGAGTCACGTCTTTGTGTGTGGAAGTCGCTGGTTGCTTTAATTATTGATCATAGACTTTATTGCCCCGTGCATCCACACTGCTGCTTTTCATCAAGGACACATTTGTCCCGTATTTTCCTCCACGACTTTGTTCCCCTCGTTTGTGGAGATCTCCCTCCATGAATCAGAGGCCATCCGGCGTCCTCATAGTCCGCCAATGACGGCTTGTACAAGCGCTCATATTTACGCATTTCTTCCCACAAAAGCTCTTCAATCTGATCCGTTCTCTCGTAAACGTTCCTCCTTTTAATAACGGCCGTATTGTGCTGTGAAAACGGAGACGTGAGACTCCGTAAAGGACGTAGTCAGTGGACCAATCACAGCCTGGTGCTGCAGGAGGCTGCGCCGCTTTAGACGCTAGTCTAGAAAAATGGGTCGACGCACGCAAGGAGGTGTGAAAAGACGCGCGAGGGACACGCAGGGGGGTCTTGCGTCTGCGTGTCCTTGCGTCTCTCTGAAAACGCAGAAGCATAAACTAGGCTTGAGTTGACCCACGTACGAGGAACGGGGTCCTGAAGGTCGTCCTTTGTGGACTGAACATCCCAGTGGACCACATGCAGGTTTTCACTGAGGAACGGTGCAACATTGAAGACAAACAGGGTGTATGAGGACACTGTGAAGAGACGCTGTTCTTGATTGTTTGTTTTGTTGTATTCGTGTGGTACCGGTTTGTTTTTTTAAAGACATAAAGGTCAATAAATCTGTCCGCCCCTCCGTGTCCTCCAGGTCGGTACTGGGAGACCGTCCAGCGCCTGAAGATCTCTCAGTTCTACGGAGCTCCGACGGCTCTTCGTCTCCTGCTAAAATACGATGAGAGCTTTGTGAAGAAGTACGACCGCTCGTCTCTGAGGACGCTGGGATCAGGTACCCTGGACCCGGAGGAGGACTTCATG